TTTTGTTATAGCAATGAAACACTATTCTCAAAGAAATCCTTGGTGGTGCGTGCCTTGATAACCTAGGTCCTTATCTGGGAACAAAGCCATAGAAACAATTTTCATATGCCATACTTAATTATATAGGACATAACTGTAAGTCATCCAGAAACATTAGGATCATTTATCTTAAGCAGCATGAAGGCCCTGGTTTACAATTAGGTTCTCACATTAATACAATAATACAAACGTAATAATAATAATATACTGATAAGGGACTGGAGAGATGGCTCAGAGGTTAAGAGTACTGGCTGCTCTTCCAGAGGTCCTGAGTTCAATTCCCAAAAAACACATGGTGGCTAGCAATCATCTGTCGTGGGATTGGATGCCCTCTTCTGGTCTGCAAGCATACATGCAGGTCGAGCACATAAAATAAATAAATCTTAAAACATTTTAAAAATAGTCATATTTGATTGTACATACTCATACACACATGTGCATGTACACACACCACTTCATCCTAATTAATTTCTGACTACAGTTAAGGCAAAGAAAATTCACTTCCAAAGAAAATGTGGTCACTCCCTCACTTTCTCTAGCTGTCTGTTCTTTCAGCTGGTTAAATGAATGTACAAACCAATCTATTCCTTTCCTCTTCTTATTGATAACAAAGATTCAGAAAGGGATGTTACAGTATCTAGGAGGCCCTATTAATAAAGTTTTATTCCATGGCAAAGTAAACAGAAACAAAAGAGTTCATTATCAAACACACAAAAGTATCTTCCAATTTGCAAATATTAGCCTATTAAAATGAATGAAACAAACAGTAGGAAAATGTAGAAAATGTTTTCTATTTAACTCAACAAATATGTGAAATGTTGTAACAAGAAGCATCATAAAGAATATTTTTAATTTAGCAAGCAAATGACATTTCTTCACAATACTCTAAATATCTGTCTCTGTTTGTTTCTTTCCCATCTAAGTTTAATATGTGGCAGCCAACAATCATGAGATGTTGCTTCTAGTTTGGGCTCTTTTGTCAGCTAAATGTTATCCAAAATGCATTTGCCATCTAATTTATAAAAATGAAAGTATTCTGTGAAACATTTGGATCAGTTAATATGAAGTTTACACAGAGTGTCATATGTAAAAATGTCTACTTTGTGGAAGAATCTGAACACATTTTAGTTCCTTTTCTTTCATTTCCCTCTCTCTTTTCTTTCTGTACATCCTCTTCTCTTTGCCTATTTTCATTTTCCCCTACTTTGTAGCTAGATTTCTTTACCATGCATGCTGTATTTTCCCATTGCAATTCTTCTCTCTACTTCACAGTGCACTAGCTCGCTTTGGCCTATCATTTATTAAACTATTCTCAACCCAGATCATCTTTCTTTCCTCCTCCTCCTTTTTCTTCTTTTGCTTTACCTTATGAGGAGCTCACACATAGCTATGGTTGGCCTTGGTAGTGTAGTGATGCTCCCACCTCGGATGCTCCCACCTTGGAGTCCTTGAATCGGCACACCCAGTTTTGTCTGGATCTGCCCAGATCTGCTTGCATTCTTTCAGGTTACCCCTTTTTGACTTTTTGTTATCTGTAATATCAAGCTAGTATTTGTCCTTTATGGAGTCTTTATTGTGGAGAGGGAGTGCTTGTGACTGCCATTTGTGAAGTAGAACATTACCCACATAAACCAATAATCTAACAAGGAAAAGGCAAAGATGTGTGAAGAAGAAAGCAAGTGTGAAGAAGGAAGTGAAGGAGTCACTCTGAAATGTGTGCAACACTTGAGCTTTTCTTTCCATGGGTCCTGGAGACACACCTGGCTTACAACAGCACTCTGCTTTCAGGCACGCTTGAATCTGACCAAGCTCATTCTTTTAACCTCAGTTTGTCACATTTTCTAGAAATACTGAGATTTAAAGAGGATAATGGATGTGAGACAGTTAGCATGTTACCTTATTGGCTGCTGAGGAGATGCTAATTCACATTGCTTCCAGGATCTCCCAAGGGAGGGATGAGAATTAAAAAGCACAAGTGAAGGATATAGCTGCCACCTCCTTCCATTCCCTATACAATTGCCTTTTATCTCGGGCTTCTTCACAGCTTCTTTCCTTCATTAGGAACCTTGTGAACTTCCTAACAAAGATGACATGAACTTCCCTTTTGACATTCAGAACCTGTAGTGCATTTTAAAATATTTATGAAGAGAAAATAGTTCAGGATGGTCATTTAAGCAGACTAATTTTAATTCTGAATTCATGTCTAAAACCTTCACTTACTGAAATGAATAACATACCAGTATCTTGCGAACAGAGGCAGCAGGTGAGGTTTGGAGCGCAGTAGTGAGAACGGAGTGCATGTTGCACCTGTTGTCAACAAGAAAAAGTATTCATCTGGAAACTGTTAACTAAATTTTTATTTTAGTGTTTCTGCGAGTGAGGCAGATTTTATGTAGTTTTTATTTATTGATTGCAAGGATAATGTCTTAAACTTTGATATTTAGTATTCTTACATATGTCAAAAAGCAGTCTAAATTATATATAAACATGTCATTTGCATGCTGATTAACTGTCACAATTTTCTCTTAATGAGTTAATAACTGAAAGTGCACATAAATTGCAACTGCACGGGTTTCTACTCGTGCCCAAAGCTAATGTAAAATAATAATTTTTTTCTCTGAAGAAAATCTGGCTATTGTATAAGTTACACATTTTGTTTATATATACAATTTACAGTGGATGTTAAATTGTGAATTTATTTTTATGCAGAGCTTAAGTTTTCAGATCAGGAATGTAAATACAGAAAGGTCCAGCAAACCTGAAGTGAAACTTAGTGTAGTCAAATCAACACCCTGGAAGCCTGAAGCTAGAAACTGCGTGTGGCATTACCAACATTGAGGCAGGCGAGGGAGCTCTTTCTCACAGGATTCTGAACTGAGCCTGAGATAAACTGAGTGTGAAACAACAAGCCTCAGCTCACAAACTCTACCAGCAGTGCTATAAACGTTTGTTCAGAGACCTCCAGAAACTTCACTGTTTCTGCCCCAGCTGCTGGTGTCCAAGCCCATTCCAATTCCCTGCCAAGTTTCAGAGGCTCCTAAAAGTTCTGGAGCAGATGCTAAAGTTCTCATGTCCTCTCAGGACTACACAGAGTAGCTTTCATCTCTGAAAACCATCCATAAAAATGCTTAGTCCACATGTTCAAGTGTGCTTAGGGATACTCACGCCAAACCAGTAATTCAACACCCTCTCTCCAGAATTTCAGGGCAAGTGAAGCTGCTGGATTTGCAGCCTTAATTCTCCAAGTGCTCCTCCTAATACACAAGCGAGTTTAACTTTGAAGTCTGGACTCATATTTCATTCACATGTCTTTAAAAAAATAACAGTTTATAATACAGCTGGCAAGAAAATTAACAGCACTTTGGGTAAGGCTGATGACCTGAGTTTGGTACTCAGGGTACACATGATAGAGGAACAGAATCAACCCCAGCAAGTTGTCCTCTGATGTCCACACTCACAGATGGCACAAGCATTTCCCCCTCCCCAATACACAAAGTAAATAAATACTGTAAGAAGTTCATAGACATTGGAAGTTTGAAACTTCAAAATATCCCATTAAAGAATATTTTTCCTTGTGTATTAATAGGGACTCACAAAATTTCCCCACCTTCTTTATTCAGTTTTAATTTGTATTAAATGTCCCGGTCTCTCATCTTTATCAAAAACATTATTGATATCGTAGACACACTTATTTATTTTGGTTAACAGTGAGAGTCAGCACTGCCCACTCACCAGTATTATCTAGTTACAAAATGATAGATTAGCGAATTGTCTTCCTTAACTGTATCCTGATGAGTTATTATTGTGTGCCATACTATAGAGCCTTTGAGGTGTGCATCGTTGAAGTCACTGTCACAAATTCTCAACTTGAAGCATTATGTTATTCTCTTTAGTAAACCTATGCCATTTCTTAGTTTCTACAATGAGCTGAAAATTAAATTAAAAAGTCAATAGTAACTTTTTATAGAACAAATTGCATAGTTCATATTGAGTTTGGCATCAGACATAAGTGAGAACATCATTTGTAAACAGATTATTACATTGAAATGATGGCATCACTTTATAGGTTTCTAGCGCTTGTGAAATAAAAACAGGAAAGAGTTTTATGTTTTTAAGGAAAAATGGGATCCAAATGACATTTTACTGACATGTTGGTGTTTTTCTGTTTTTCAACTAAAATCTTCAGTTATGCTCAATAGAAAAAAGGTTAAAGTGTATATATTAATAGTTGCGTCTACACAGACAGAAAACATCTATTGATTGGTAATGATCACATACTTATACAGGGTCACATAAGGCGATATAGGAAAACAGGGAATGAATGTAAAGGAAGATAAAAACAGTTTATGAGTGATTGAGTAGAAATTCTCTTTTCACTTTCTTTATGGTAAAATCGATTCTGAGTTTTTTGCATTAAAATTAAATTAAATGCTATACACACACATATATATTTCTCTTCTGTAGAAATGTACTTTTGTTCATTTATAAATTAAATGAAGAACATTTGTAACAAGTCAGAGAGTCAGATAATTTTCCCAGCTGAAATATATGTTTTATCAAGATTTTTCCCAATATTTACAAAAAATTTGCTTTGCCTACAGCCTGGACAGCTCCCAATAACTAGTGCACTTTTAGCCCAATTCCAGGGCTACAGCTTTGCTGCCTTCTTTTCTCTGCCTCTTCTTCTGCTGCCTTCCTTTCCCAATCTTCTTCCATTCTTTCTGCAGGCCACTTTGTTTTTTAATACCTGGATATTTCTTGATCCATTTATCTTTTCTATCATATGTATAAGCTTTTTTATTTTTCTCTCAGTCTTCCATATTTTATATTTTCTATCCTTATTTCTCTTTATTTATCTCCTTTCTTTTTCATCCACTGGAAGGAGTGTGTGTGTGTGTGTGTGTGTGTGTGTGTGTGTGTGTGTGTACTTCTAGTCTCACTCTAACAGTGGATACTTTTTTTATTTTTTAGAGTTTTTAATAGTCAAACACAGAGGTCTGCTTCATTTCAGCTCCTTTACTGCCAAGCCAGGGGGCAGAGACTGTTTGAACTTCTCAGCTTTCTCCTTGTCTGTGATGACCAGGGTGTAAAGGTACCTGTTGTAGCGAACTTTGAACTTCACATTATCCTTGTTCTTTTTGATCTTGACAGATTTGGCATCCTTCTGCCAGGCCATGAGCAGGAAGTCCTTGATCCACAATTTTCTGAGGCATGGCGACGGGCGCTCAGCACTGGAGACCATACCTCGGATTTAACCCCCATCCCTGACTACCCCAATGACTCATCTAACAGTGTATATTTTAATTGCCTCTATGACTTTAAAAACTATCAACCCAAAGTGGATATAAGAGTGATATGGATGTGCTAGTGTATGTGACTACATGTTACACCTGTGTTTTGTCACTCTAATAGCTGGCTAGATCAGTGCTGTCATTTGAGACAATGCCAGATGTGTTGAAATAGAAGCGGAGGGGCTGCGTCCCCGGCACCCGGCCACCCGCCCGCATGGCTAGCTCATGTCCAGAAATAATTACACGGAAACTGTATTCTTTCAAACACTGCCTGGCCCGGCTAGTTCCAGCTTCTTATTGGCTAGCTCTTACATATTGTTCTAACCCATTTCTAATATTCTGTGTAGCCCACGAGCTGGCTTACCAGGAAGGATCTTAACCTGCGTCTGTCTGGAGCGGGAGAATCATGGCGACTCCTCACTCAGCTTCTTTCTCCCAGAATTCTCTTCTGTCTACTCCGCCTACCTAATTTTCTGTCCTATGAGGGCCGAGGCAGTTTCTTTATTAATAAGAAATCACTCCCACATCAGTTTCCTTTTTCTGTTTAAACAAAAAAGAAAGGCTTTAACTTTAACATAGTAAAATTACATATAACAAAACAGTTATCAAGCAAGAATTACAGTTACAATATTTATATCTATTTTATCTTTTATCATATTAAGGAAAACTATAACTATCTATTCATTCTTTAACTCCATCAAAGACTCCAGAAGGATATAATATTACCTAAGCAAATAAGAAATAAACAACAGAGACATCTCGCTGCCTGGACAGTCACCCAAAGTTCTTTTGTACCGTTGAGGCATCCATCTTCAGCCTTCAGGCCCATAGTATCCAGCAGACACCTCCACGAAGTAGGAAATTCCAAAGACAGTTTAGTCACTTTCTGCTGTGTCCTGCAGAATGTCTCGCAGACTCTCATGAATCAGGAACCCCTAAAGACCATCTCACCTTTAGGCAAGTTCAGCAGTCCTCTCTCTGCGGGTTCTCTGTGTCCAGTTTATGCAACAGTCCAGGCAAGAACAGTTTCTTGCCCAAATGGCTATCAAACTCCATAAGGATCCTCTTCGATGCCCATCTTCCTCTTGAAGTAGCTGGTGCTGCCAGGAGCAGACGTGTCTCCTTGTCATGAAAAGTCCTAAGTTATTAAAACATTTAAATGCCATATTCTGCAGCCTTTGAGAGATATGAAGAATGCCTATCTAATTGAAATATATCTCTATATATCCAGAAAATCTAACTAACATGACTACAAGCTTGACTATTATCCATTAACAACCTATATTTCCTAATTATACAGTACATTTTTAAAGAACTACATAATCACAATACCTTAATCAAGATCAAAAATACATATACATATAAGAAAATTGACCATAAAATCCATACCAATGCAAATTATTCATATCTATATCATATCCCCCTTTAAATGTAAAAGAACATTTATAAACAATATTTGGGAACATGGGCGTAGTTTTTTCTCTCCAAACTGCTTCCTGCTGAATGGGGGCGTCGTTAATTAGGTTGTTTATGATATAACCTGTGTGCTAGTTTCATCTCAGTTGGCAATTGAGTGAAGCAATTTTTTGAGGGTGTTCACAGCAACTTTTCAGGAGGGCGTGGTCTATCATACCAAATTGGAATAGATGCAACCCACAGGGTCACATCCTCTGTGAAAACAAAAGAAGGACTTTTCCAAAGCATCATACCTTAGTCCCAAATTTTGAAATCGTAATACCCTTATATTTATTCTGGTTTAGCTTGACAGCCCATGTAATGAAATGTCTCTCTGTACTTAGCTCCTTCACAGTCAAAAACTTTAAAGAAAACACAATGTACATAATCCAGACTCTCTGTGAATTTTCCATTTTTACGTGGCTTATTTTTACTTTATTTCTCTTAATCTATAACTATCTGTACTCTGTCTCTTTAAAGACTTTACCCCTTTTTTAAGGGCATTAACTTTATTCTTTTTCTCTCTCTATATATTTTTTTTTTCTCTCAAGCCTACGTATACTCATCCAACATTGTGATCCATTTAGTGGTCTGTCTGAATCTGTTTTATTGTGACTCTGTAATTTTTTTACTATCCAGGAACACTTTGTTTTGCGCCTTTAAATCATTAAGCGCTAAAGAATCTAAGCTGTGACATTCCTAGGTCAAAAACAGATACTGCATGCTGGCCCCGCCCAGTCCAACATGGCGGAGCCGCTCGTGCCTCTGATCCTTGCACATTGCACCAGTAGCATGGCAGAGCTGCTTGTGCCTCTGAGCTGCGGCACACAATGTCCCCCTTTTAGGCACACAGCAGTCTAGTTGCCATCAAACAAATCGTAGCTCTTTAATCCAAATGCTCCATTCATAAGCTCTGTCTCCCGCCGGAGCCAGACAGAGATCATAATGGCAGCACAGCCCAGAAAGCCGGCATTTTAAAACAGCCAGTTTTTTCCTGCTGCCGAGTCAGGACAATTTCTTTGCAGCACGCAACCCAGAAACAGCAAAAAGCTGTCTTAAATTCTCTCTCTCTCCTTCTTAAGCCCTCTCAGGTTTTTAAGTGGATTTAGCCCCACGTTGGGCGCCATCTGTTGAAATAGAAGCGGAGGGGCTGCGTCCCCGGCACCCGGCCACCCGCCCGCATGGCTAGCTCATGTCCAGAAATAATTACACGGAAACTGTATTCTTTCAAACACTGCCTGGCCCGGCTAGTTCCAGCTTCTTATTGGCTAGCTCTTACATATTGTTCTAACCCATTTCTAATATTCTGTGTAGCCCAAGAGCTGGCTTACCAGAAAGGATCTTAACCTGCATCTGTCTGGAGCGGGAGAATCATGGCGACTCCTCACTCAGCTTCTTTCTCCCAGAATTCTCTTCTGTCTACTCCGCCTACCTAATTTTCTGTCCTATGAGGGCCGAGGCAGTTTCTTTATTATAAGAAATCACTCCCACATCACAGATGTCCCCTGTTTACCCTTCCAGATCCACTTTCCACTCCTCTGTAGGTACCCAATCAATGGACAGACGATGGACATGCTTATTACCATCCTCGTGTTGAGACCTCAGCATCATGTACATGTGTTTGAATCCACTGAACTTTTCCCAACAAAGAGCATGATTTAAATATGTGAGGTTTTGTATATCAGATAAATCTTCATTGTGCTGTTGAGAATAGAGCACAAAAAAAGCAGAATAGAGATCGTGTGTCTTTAGGTTTAGGCTCTAGCAGGAGCCAAGGAAAAGTATAGGAGAAAGACTGTTCTGTGAAAAGGGGTCTTCCTGAATCCTGGTAACCTCTACTTCCTTCTTTGTGTCTTGGGTTCCCCATATGGTCACTTGAATTTCCCAGACAACTTACTTTCTACTTTTATCTGTGATAAACTAACTTTCCTCCAATTATCATAATTTGAGTACATGGTTTTTTTTATTAGAATCTTGGTGTATATAGCAAAATTAATTTTACTCATTCATTCATTCATTTGACAAACAGCTCTTCAATAAGCTTGCTAAGTGGCAGGAATGGAAACAGAATGGAACGCATAGAGAGAGGTCATAAACTATCATAGCTTTTATCTCAAAGAGATTAAAATTTAGAGTATAATAGTCTACCGTGGTGGGTGAGCAATTAGAATGAAATGTTCATTTTTAAAAATGATATATTTGATCTAATCCAGCTCAAGCTTAATATAAATATTACCTGAAGCATTGCCTTTTCCTCTTAATCGGCTTTATAACAGACATTTTGTTGAAGAACACATGGGAGTAGCAGGTGCAGATATTTTTAGATAAGAACATAGTAATTAGCTATTAATACATTCCACCTGGCTAAAGGATCATCCTGTTCTCTAACAACTTTTTCCAAGCATACTAGTCCAAAAGTGTGCTTACATTGTGGTGTGGGCCTCTCTATTGGAGGGGCCTATTTTTTTGTCACCATTTCTTTGCAAGGATTTCATATTTCAGTAATCTTCAAAGAAAATTAGCCCACACAAATTTTCTTAAAACTTAATGATGTTGAATGATTGATACACATCAAGATACTTAACTGATGCTAAATACAACCACTATAGGTTACCTCATAGCCATCAGGATAATTGCTGGGTGGAAAGATGTGATAGAACTAGATCCCCAACAAAGTGACTGTCACAGCGGGAATGAAAAAAAATTGCCATATGGTCCTGTCATCCTACTTCTGGTTATACATCCTAAAATGCTGAAAGCAATACAACAAAGCAATATTTATATATGCATATTCATAGGGCCATTATTAACAATAGCCAAGAGATAGAAATATGTCTACAGGTGGGAGAAAAGCTAAAACATAATGTGGCATACAAACACAATAGAGTATTAATCATACATGAAACGAAAAATACATAGTATATGTTAAAACATGGCTGACCCTTGAGGACATGCTAAGTGAATAAAGACAGTTGCAAAAACACAAATACTGTATCACTCACTAAGATGGACCATTCGTGATAGTCTAATTCTTAGAAAAAAAATAAGTAGAATGGTAGTTTCTAGAAATAAAGGGATGATGAGGGTAGTTTTTAATATGTATATGGAATTGTGCAAGAAGACAAAGTTTTTCGGTAGATTGTAAAATAATGGGAATGTACCTAAACATTTGGTTACAACTTGTACTTAAATAGGGTATAAAACAATAATTTATGTTATACATATTTTAAACAATTAAAATATGCTGTTTTGTGTATGAATATTTATACACATACATTTTTCAATCTTATATATTGTATCTTTCAATGTTAGCAAGGAATTCCTAACTTTGAAACTGCTTAATAATTAAAGTCATGGTTGGAGAAGATACATAAGGTGAAAACTGTATCTGGCCTTGGGGCCTTTGTCTCTTCCCTGAGTAGCAGGAACATTTTCAGAAGAGACAAGAAATTGTAATTCCAAAGTTTTTCTGGGTAGAATAAAAAAGTTTTGCTTCCTTTCCTTCCTTTTTAACCAGTTGAGTATAATTCACTTCAAGTTTAAATCTTTCATTAAATTTAGCTTTTTTTTTTAAAAAAAAAAAAAAAAAAAAAACAAGTGCTTTAGAGCAGAAAGCATCAAAGAGCCAGAGGACAT